CATGGGCCATTATTTTCTGTGGGGTGAACAGCGTCAGAAAAGGCTTTAGGGACAAATACAGAAGGATGAGTGGCCCATGGCTGAGATAAGACTATGGCAGAATAAGGGAAGTCTGTGTTTGTACGAGACCATTGAAGCCCAAACTGACTTTAGAGGTGCACCAAAGAGATAGGAGGTTGACTTCTGCCAAGGCACAACCCTTGCACCTTCTCAGATATACTCACTTCCACATGGAGTCCACCCAGTGGTTGAGTCTTCAAGGATCCTGCCACCATCTACAAAATTCTGACTTCAGTATGACAGTGGAACCAGCCATAGTCCCCACTGTACCTCAGACCCAAGACCACTTCTATTACTCATCTCTCCTTCTGCCTGACACCTTCTGGATTCCTGTGGTGGGTCAGCACCATATCTTGTCTAAGTCATTTGTCCAGTAGGGCAACTGGGGACTTCGTTTCTAAGAGGTCTGAATCATGGGCTGCTAGGAAGGCATTAGCAGCTGGTCTATAATCCACTCTTCCTATCCTGATTTATGAACATGCTAATCAGACCTCCTCCCCGAGGTATTAGAGGAAACCAAACTAGACTCCTTTATCTATGAAATACTTTTAATAGGATATACCTGGTCTTTCTAGCTGGCTTATAGTAAACAAACCTGGGATTTATGGGTTTACAGGGCGGGGGCCATTGGAAAACATGTCTGCTATTTACTCAGAGTGTGTGTGGGGGGAGAGAAACTCATTGATCAAAGGAACAAACACCTTTGTGGCCCCAATATACATCATTTAAATAAGGACTTCGAATCTTAATTCAGGGCCAAGTGTCATTCTGATATGACAAGGAAGGGCCTGATCGGCTGTGTTGGCTGCCTCAGACTTTCCCCGTGTTTGCCTGTGTCTTGCAATTATCTGTATCCTCGGAATTATTGATGAAGTTTGATGTGGGTATTGAAAATCTCTGATCACATGAGTCTTTCACCATCCCTGAGGGTTATCTCAGTGACTTTGCTTTTATTGGGTTGCAAGTTCCTTTCACCCATGACTGTAGGGCACACCTCTGGGTCCCAGACACATGTGTTCGTGACCTCATTATGTAGCAGTGACCCTAGTCCCTGGTCTGGTAGTCATCATGGTGGGCTATCCATGCCTGTGAACGAACTCATTTCTCTGCCCACTGGTTAATCAGCACAGAAAGCCCAAAGTAACCAGGCAGGGACTGGTTTCTGATTCCTGATGAAAGTGTTGCCCTTCTGAAAATGAAGACACTTCATCCAACAGGTCCTAAGGTTGGGGGGTCAGGAAGCACAAATTCTTCAAGTGAGTCCCGAGAAATGGGAGTGACAAAAGCCGACTCTTCTTTTCACCCCTTGATGGCTAGACTTGTGCATTCTGATAGGGACACGGCACCTTATACTGAATGTTGGTAGTTTAATGCATATACTGCATGTTGCAGGACAGCACCCCACCCCCACAGGCTGTTATCCCTCAGCTGGCACCTGAGCAGAGCTGTTTCCAGGCCATTCCATCATCCCATTGTGGCAGCTCGCTCTGTATATAATGCAACATATGACATCAACAGTGGTTTCCATAGTCATACACATACTGATGAGCCATTTCAGCACAAAATGAATCCCCCAGTCTGAGGTGGTGTTTTGTAAGATCCCGTTATCAGGGCTCATTATCAAACACAGGTCTGAGGAAGGAGACTCCAACATACCCACTAGGTAGAGCATCCTCTCTACCTGGTTGTTGAGGGACTTCTCACTGATGAGTGCTCCCTGGAGGTCATTAACACGAGACACAACGTTCTACATGTGTTGTGTGTCTCTTCATAGGTCATTGACCTACCTTGTCCACAGACCACTTAGACTTCCATCTTTCAGCCTTCTTCCCTTCCCTGACCAATAAGCTGGTCCATGTTCCACTTCCCACAAGTGCATATCTAACCCGATCTCAGGCCACGTCTCTGTCCGTACAAAGTGGGAAGCCGTGGGCACCTCTCACAGCTCTGGCTGCTAGGCTAATTCCTTATCACCACGACCACAGGGCCACCTCTGAGAAGCGCTGAGGTGTCAGTGGACATCCATGGGGGCACGTGACCCACCTGTGAGCCAGGCTGGAGTTTCGTCCTCTCTCAGCTGCTCATAGGAAACCCCGTGAGACCATAGTGTGAGGTCAAGAAGAGGCACCAATGTAACTGGGTTTGAAACACCGGGACCTGATGCCAATTCTTCTTGTGTAACTTACCTGGGTGTTCTGGACCTTCTCAGCTCGATTCCTCAACGTGCCTCTTCCAAGGTACAAGTAATGGCTGCCACACCCATCCAATACGGGACCCGATCCCCCGAGGGTCTAACCGCACCCAGAGCATGATGGGCATTTCTGGCTGTGTGGCCCCTTGATGTCTCACATTCAGAGGCATTCAGGATTGACTAGGGTTCAGCCGCGATTCATCCCAGGAGTGAGGGATTCTGCTGCAGAAGGGATGGCCGTGCTCCAGAACCCTAGAATCCCTCTGTGAACATTCTGTAACCAATGCTTGCCAAACATTCCTTGGAGTGTCGTCACTACCACAGATACCACTACACGTGGCTGGACCTGCTGGAACAGAAGCAAGGACCCTGTACCACCAGCCTGGACAGACTGCAGGACCTAGTCTTACTCTGGGTCCACCCAAAACCAGCAGCCTTTACGTCACCCTAGAAATGAGTTGGGCGAGACTTTCCTAACAGAGTCATCTTAAGTGGTCTTTTGGGTACAATTATTTGGGGAAGATTAGAACCTAGAACATGCATCAGCATATATCCTTCTCTTAGGGTGCCTGGGTGGCTCAGTTGGTTGAGCATCTGACTCCCGATTTCGGCTCAGATCATGATCCCATGGTTCGTGAGTTTGAGCCCCACGCCAGGCTCTGTGCTGACAGCTCAGAGCCTGGAGCCTGCTTCGGATTCTGTGTCTCCCTTTCTCTCTCTCTGCCCGCCCCCCCACCCCTCGCACTCTCTCTCTCAAAAATAAAA